TGCAGCTGCCCAAGGTGCGGTGCCTGTGGGGTCAGGGCGGGGGGCAGGGAGCAGGCCAGGAGAGCCCCATGGTGGGCAGGGGCACAGGGGGTGGCAGGGCCAGAGCAGGGTATCGTGGGGGTGGTGATGGCAAGGGGGTCAGGGCCTGGCAGAAGATGTTTTGCAAACGGCGTCACAACTGGGCGCTGGAGCAGGGAGCTGGAGCCAGGCGCCGGGTGACAACCCTGCCAGCTCCCGCGCTCGCTTAACCTCGCACTGCCCGGAGCCCTGGTGGCAGCCGGCTCCCGGAGCCTTCCTGACCCGGGCTCTGCCGCCCGGGAGCATAAGGATGGCACCCCCCTCCCCCAGGTGTGTTCCCATGGAGATGCCCAATTGGGTGCCTGCCCATCATGACCCAGGAAGCATCCCAGTTGCTGGGGGGGGCTCATCCTGGGGGTGCCCAGACAGGGCCTGCTCTGCCACCCACCTCTCAGGCCTCCTCCGCAGCCCTGCCCCTGCCCCCCAGCAGCCTTGGTCCCGGACCAGCACAGGAAACGCTTTGCATTTTTTTCGGCTCAAGCCTGGTTCAGGGAGTCCCGAGGTCTGGGCGCAGCGTGAAAGGGCCCGGGGGCAACAGGATGGGGCAAGGCTCCCTGGGCCCACGGCGCTGGCAGGCGGCAAGAGGGTTTTGGCAGAGGCGTCCGCACCCAGAGCCAGCGGAGGGGTTGCCAGGACACGTGGGACCCCACCCCCGTTCCCCGGCTGCCCCTGCTGTGGCTTCCTGGGACAGTGCCCGGGTGGCCGGATGGCAAGCTCTGCGTGGCGCACAGTGCCGGGCACTGGGCCCCCTGGGCGGGGAAGGGGGTCCCTTGGGCTGCAGCTGGATCTGCGCAGGGGGCGGGCGCCGTGCCACCTCCTGGGTTTGTTGCTGTTGGGGCCTGCTAGAGCACACCCCTGCCCTGGCCACTGAGGGGTTAATGAAGCCTCCTGCAATTAGCCAAAGGCAATTAAAGTAATTCTGTGGTGCAATGGGCCAAATGCCACCACCAAGCGGGGGAGCAGGAGAGTGGGGGGGTCGAGTCTTGCCAGAGCCCAGCCGCCCAGGCCTGCAGCTTCCCGGGCCGCGAGTTCGAATCCTGCGCGGCTGCTCCAGCGCGGGCTGCAGGGCGCTGGGTTCTGGGGGTCCCCAGCGCCCGAGGGGTGGGGTCGTAGCCCAGCTGAGACCCGACAGACTCATCACACCCGGGGGCCCTCCTTGCCCAGCCCCAGGGATTTAAAACCCAGGCGTCCTGCCTCCCCAAGGCCAGGCCACAGGGGGGCGCCCCCACAGCTCTCCATCCCCCATGGAGAATTTGCCCCTGGGCGGGGCAGATCCTGCCCCCAGGCCTGGGGTGGGAGGGGTGCCAGCGAGGTGCTGCAGGGGGGCAGGACCGGGGCCACCGGGGCAGGATGGAGCCCCCGGCCCAGCTGAGCACCGGCCCATTAACCCTTTCAGCTCGGGGGGCGGGTAGACCTCTGACATTAACCCTTTCTTGCTCCTGGCTGCCCCCCCCCCGCAGAGGGGGTTAACCCTTTCTGTGCCCCAGGGCTGGACTGGGAGGGAGGGGCACCCCTGGGATTAACCCTTTCCGCTCTGTGGGGGGGGGCACGAACCCCTCCTGGTACCGCAGTAGCTGGGCTGGGGGTGCCCCCCCTCGCCCCGAGGTTAACCCCTTCAGCTCTGCAGGGAGACTCCCACCCCTTGGAGACGAACCCCTTCTGCTCATTGGAGGGGGGGTGTCTCAGACCTTAACCGCCCCCCACCCCGCATTAACCCTTTCAGCCCTGGGGGGGGTCTAAAACCTCAACCCCCTCCTCCAGATGATCCCCCTCTGATCCCCAGGGTTTAACCCCTTCTGCCCGCGGGTCCCAGGGCTCTCCCCGATTAACCCCTTCTGCCCCGGAGCCGGGCGACCCACCCCCTGGCCCGGGTTTAACCCCTTGTGCCCCGGGGCGGAGGGGGCGGACTGCCCCCCCCCATTAACCCCTGGCGCTCCGGGCGGAGCAGCCGCGGCCCCGCCCCGCAGGACGCCGGCCCGGGGCGAGGGCGGCGGGCGCGGG